GCGCGGTTGAATTCACCATTCCTGAATACTAATGAGTTAGAACTTGACTGATAATATCTAACTCCCAAGTCCCTACTTAAGTAACTAGCCAGGTACTTTACGAACCTTTTTTTAAGGGACGTCCGGGGATTTGCCTGGTCTTGAATGGCTCAGCTAGCTGCCTGTAGTAATAAACAGCTGAAGGTTTTCCAAGTTTGATGCACGATGATGAGGGATTCAATAATATGGATCATCTCATTCGATGATCTATCACCAACCGGAAAAGAGAAACATGCTTGTTTGCTATCTCAGATCTGACAACCCTCCAAATTCATGGGAAGATCACTCCACCACTTAATCTGTTCCAACCTTCTAGAATCTAGAATCGATATCAAATATATACAAGGCAGCCCAATAGAGTCCCAATGCTCCACGACAATCCTATCTGGGGAGTAATTTCCGTGTGTTGAAGGTATGTTTGAAACCTCTTTCGAGGATATACGTGAGAACGTGAGGGTGACGAGCTTATCATCCGTAATATTGGCGGGGTACTTTTAAACGTTATCGTCATTGGGTATCTTCGGGCTCAGCGCGCCCAATCGGTTAGTAACAGGATTCATCTCTTTTACATTGTCCCTCGTCCCATCGTACTTGTTCCGAGACCATGGCATGATACTCTTCGGCGAGAGCGAAGATAGGTATTAAGCTGATGACTACCGAGTACCTTTTGTGGGAAATGCTTGAGCCGCAAGTGCCGTATCGTGTGGTGCGTATGGATGTCTTCCATTTGATATACGTACTGCCAGGGTTACTCAACTGCGCCCGTGGGATGAGATGGAGGGGCTGAGATCTAGTGTTGGCTGTGCGGTAAAAATTACATCACGAGAACAAATGATCGATAATCCAATAAAACCCGCTGCTTTTCCCAACAAAATAAAACATCTGCTTCGTGGCGAGAATGTTAGTAAATACCTAGGTAAAAGTATCTAGTGGTTAGCAGTAAAAGTCGAATCCCTTGTAAGTTGTCACACCTTTCCAAAAATTCATAAGGCTATTGTTTTCCGGGATATCCTTGATAATGCTGATGAGCTGTTCGATGGAAGTTTTTCATAATTCGAATCTTCATGAAATATGATGTCATATCGGGCTTGTAACTCCACTTTGCATACTGTTTCTACAATGTATTGATGCTATCTACCTACCTAGGTATGTATTGATACTCGGAAGCTCCTTGTTGACTTTGGCCTGACTGTATGTGTATGGTACTTTATGCACGGTAAGGGAACGAATTTGGGCTCGGTCTTGCCCGCCCCCCTTTATTTGATTCTGGGGGAATTTGCTTAGAAGTTAGAAGTTAGCATTCAGAAGCTAGAAGCTAGAAGCTAGAAAGCCATCAACCTTAAGGTAAGGCTCGGAAAGGCCCGAATCATGAGATCAAAATTCAAACTGTATTGGTGATAGTCTACCATGTAGTATGTAGGTAGTGATCATTAGTCAAATGATGCTTGATTCATTAGATCTGGAACCTGTCCGAATCCTGTTCTTCTTCTTCTCTGCCAACATTTAGTATACCGTGGACATCCCCACGAGTGGCTGAGTTCTGGCTTCGAGGCTTGTACTTTCTGTCGTTAACGAAGATTCCTTCATGAAACCCCTGTAGAGAAATCGTGCATTGCTGCAGACATCACTACACCCAACACTCAAACAAAATTTCTATCCGTGTACAAACTGACGCACCAATTTTGAATGGTCATCAAATGCTAAAATGTTCACAGATTTACAAGAGACTATAGTATGTCGAATTTTGTAAAAGAGGGCTTATCAAATCAAGGATTAGATACGATACCATATGCCGAAGTTGTATACCTTGAGCTTTCCTTTCGAGGCTATTTGAACTTTGCAACTGCTTCTTACCCATCTATCGTTGAATGACCACCGAGATATCATGGACAGGAAATTCAAGCTGTTCAACCACCTTGAATTAGTCTCCGAGCTGCCAAGAAAGGGTACCTGTTTTCGCAGTTGAAGAGTAACACTCGTTTCCTGAGTGCCGGCATAAGCTTTACATCTTGACAAGAAGAAACGACTAGCCTGGAATCGAAATCGAAAAAGTTCGATCAGGGACCAAAATTCGAGATGAAAGTACTGTCATTTGTTTGTTTGCTCGTCTGTCTAGGACTGACCAAGTCGTAACATACCAAGACCTAGTAGAATTCTGGCCTCGCAACCAGATAAGGTCATGTGCCGGACGATAGCTAGCGCATCAAAGCATAGTAGAAAGCCCAATGCTACAATCACCGCATCGTTCAATCCTCTTCATATTATTAGTGTCATCAAGAAGCGCAGTTGACAATAGTCTTCCACCCCAGAATTCTAGTATCAAATACTACTCTCGTTCAGTATTCTCATATCCACGTGCCAGACACGTGCTATCTTCAACATCGGAAAGTTTTGTTGCACATCTGGGAGCCTTTCTCACTTTTGCAATTGAGATGAAATTTTAATTTTGACAACGGAGTTGGAATCCTGCATGTTTGGAGATCTCGAATTCAAAGTTTCGGGGGATTTGAAAGAGAAAAGGAGCTCGTCGTTTGTGGTTTTGATTGTTTTTGTCTTTGTTTACCCTGACTTTTTTTTGAGAGATGCCGAGGTTGTTTTGATACTAAAATGACCTTGATGGATGGGGAAATTCACCGTTGGGAGCTCTCGTCGTATGTAGGAAGTGAAGTTGCAAAAATCGGACAGTAACCTACCTGGATTGCCGGCGGTAGGTACGGATGGACAGTGAATGAGTGGGTCTTGAGAAGACTTCGTCACGCATCTGAAGTTTTCAAATCGATGTATCTTTCTATCTCTTGGTCATACTTTGAGAGATGACGGCGGGCGACGGAAGTTTGGATTGTGCATCTGAATCTGAGGTGTTTTTGTAATGTTGCGATCGTTCGTCTATTGGTAGATTTCTTGGTTTTCGTGATGAGAGTTTCATTTGAAGTGAATTATGGGAACTCTTCTTTATGCGCCTACGATTTTATCATAGTACTCCTTTATGTTATGACATATGACTTGGTAAATGATGGTACCGCGAGTACTTGCGCTTCCTTCCTACATTGTCGCAATATCATCTCATCGATTCCAGACTTCTCATCCCATCTCACCCTTCACAATTCACCCCTCTGCACATCAAATTCTTTTTGTTGCACATCTCAATTTCTCATCACAATGCGCTCACGCATCTACTGGCCCAAATCTCATTTTCAACCTCCACACTCGATCCACTAACTTCCCGTAGGGCTCCCGCAGCGACCACTAGCTCACAATACCTCAGCCCTACAAGATTTCCCCAGATTCCTCAAAATTTCAAAGAACCAATAACCTTCCGATCGCAAAGCTCAGGCCCCTTTGCGCGCGATCGCAAGTTCCTGAGAGTCTATAATAGCCACTCATTTTTCGCGCCCTTTCCTACTTGGGTCCTGAAACTTTTCTCTTTTTTGAGATGTGCAACAAAAGATTTGGAGGTTTGGGGAGTGCTTGAGATTGGTCGGTTTCTCACTTGGACCAAGCGTAGGGCTGTGGCGGCTAGTAGCTGCGGTGTATTCACTTTGTTTCAGGGTGCAGGAGAAGGTGAGGAAGTTTCGTGGCAGATTCGTCTAGTCTTGTCTCTTCATTTATGGCTTTTGGTTTTGTTGCATGTCTGCAAATCTGAATAGCTTCGAATTTGTCCTTGACAGGAAGAGTCGATGTTTTGAATCTTGTGGTGGGAGTGTGAAGGGCAGTGTCTGTCTGATGAACTGTTCAACAAGGGGGAAATCAGATTTGTGTGCTGTCGCTGGCGTCTATCTCGTCTCAACTTTTGATCTTATCTTTAATCGCTTTATTCCACTCATTCACTTGTCACTTGTGTGTTATCTCATCTCATATATTCAATTCTTCTGAATATCTTGCTTCGCTATTGGCTACGGAATTTAAGGAAGGTTTTTGTTGCATATCGTACTTTTCACTTTTACATTCTTTTTATGTCTTATCAGAATAAGTTTCAGCACGTTGGACTATTGCGATGTCTTTGGGTGAGTAAAGAGAGGCCAAGTATCAAGTCTTTCGGGCAATTGAAAAAAAAACCAATAAATGCCTGGGTGGTTGCTTGTCTTGATATTTCATCTCGATTTGAGGCTGTGGTCTAATGGTCGGACGATTAACGATTGAATCGCTTGTTGATCAAGCATCAAGCATCAGGCATCTTAAACTATTAACTTCGTATAATTCATCCAATAGGCACGTAGATTTACTCGAGCCTCAAATGCACTTTTTAAGAATCTCTCGTCATCTTCAAGTGGTAGGGGCCAAGTACCGTCTTACCAAGCAGCAATGCTACACTTTTTATGATTCACAGCCTCCCGAAACCATAAAGGAGACTGGCTACCACGATTTTATATCCGAAGCAAGTGGTTGCCTCATGGAATCGTCTTGCCAATCAATTTCGACAAAGCTAGCTGAATTTGGTCATTGGGTGCAAGATTCATACCCACCCACTTACCCTGCAGTAAGCAGCATTAGCCCATTTCAAACTATCGAAATGCAATGCATGTGAAATTCGAAACGTCTAGAGTGCTTGGAGCCCCCAATATTTCTAGCAGTATCTAGTTTGATTCGAGGGGGTTAATCTTATCAAGAGAATCGATTCAAGCTTATCGATGAAGTTGAGTCATACGTTGTTTTTGTGAGGCTCAAGATGTTCCGTGTGCGAGGCTCCTTTCTGGGCTTTTGGCTGATCGCGAAGGAATTCGACTTGAGATAAACCATCTTAATCTAGACACCGATACAATGAGGCTGGGTATTAATAGCGATTCTTTTACTTGCATCTGAAGGGTGTGGTCTAGAATCTGACAGCATGGGATATATAGAGAGAGAGAAAGAGAGAGAGAAAGAGAGAGAGAGAAGACAGCATAATCTGTACACACGCATATATGTTTGTCATTTCATTTCGAGCCCCGAAGTGAACTAAACCAACCTTCCTCTTGTCCAAAATGAATATTACTACACGATATCTACACATGTATTTCCTCTATCTCCTCTACATACCATCAGTTCTCGCAGACAATACGCAAAGTAACGCCTTCAGCGCCGAAGCCTCGTGTTATGCCCTCCCATATGGTGGTTGGGGCTTCTTCTCTCACATCCTCACATATTACACCGTTATCGTAATGTGTTGCCACAAGAGACCTGCCACACCGTGGATAGACTCCACTCCCGACAGCACATGGAACAAAGCGATCGCTATTGTAAAGCTTCTCTTTACACTCCTACCAGCCATCAAAACCATGATCACATGCAATCACGCCTGGTATATCCCACCTTTCCCCTTCTACACTTCATCCCATCTCGCGAAATTCTAACTTGTCATTTTCCAGGCAATTTGAAACCATCGCGGCAATGAAACTAGCTCTCTCGCTTACCTCGGGCTTCATCGCCATCTTCCCTTCTTTCTGGTGGCTACTCCTCTATCTCCCCGGCGTCATCGCCGGCACAGCCGGTACCATCTCTCTTGCCTCATCTAATTTCTCATCGCGAATGAGCACCATCACTGCGGTGTTTGGAGGCGTGGGCTTAGCAATCGCCATCGCAACTGTATTCATCTCCTGCCTCCGGTTCTCGGGTAGCGATAAAAATCCCTTTGGAACGGGCGCATTGATCGGACTTAGTGGATATGCGTCTTGCGTGCCGATTTGTTTGGTTTTCGGTGCGCTGTATTCGGATTGGGTGCTGGCGATTGTGGCGGATAATTTGATGGGGTATCCTTCTGGTCAGTCGAAAAGTGTGCAGGCGTTGTGGGTTTTGTATATGATTGGGAAGAGGTTGAATTTGTTGACGATTTGAAAGAGTGAGTCTTATTAATGTAAGTGCTTGACGGGAAGGAGAAATGTATAATGATTGGGTGAGGTTTGGTATGCTAATTCGAATGAGTGCTTATTTGGGTAAATAGTCATGAATAAAATTGTCAATAATTTGAAACTCATTTAAGCATTCATTTGCCTCATTGAAACGAGGATCTACAGGTTCAGACGTGCAATGAAATCTTCGCGAATCTATGATCTCACGAACGCTACCGCCCTAACATTAGTATATTCAGACGTTAGTGTATTTATCAAAAAGCTCAAACTATTGAGCTTCGTCGACCGTTGAAATATCTCGCTAGGTCTATTTGATTTACCACCTTCTCCCAATTACGAAAATTTCATTTCGCAATGGGTACCCTCCTACATTTTGGTAATTCGTACCTTCACTCGAAGTTCGAAGCAGAGTTGCTGGGAGGAGAACTCCTCATGAGTAGTCATAAAATGAAGGTAAATTCTGGAATATCCTAAGCAAACTTGATTTAACACGCTCCTCATAACATGTCGAATTTCCTCAATACCCCAGACCCCCCCCCATAATCCCCAAATCCCTCTCCCTCTCACGCAACCCACAATCCCTTCTCCTTATGCCACTCTTCTATACTAAACTCCCCATACCCCTCATAAACCTTCTTCTTTCCCTCCGGCCACCTAACATATTCCGGCTTACTATCCCCCTTCACACAAACCATTTCCTCCGCAATCGGTAGTTCCGTATCAATTGCACTTGCAAAAGGATGAATTAGCTCCGGCCATGTTTTATCCCAAAGCCAGAGCATCGATGCACATTCGCTGCAGAAATTGCGTTCGGATGTGCATTTTTTGGCAGTGGGTTTGCCACGGTCGGCGGTTGCAGTGTATTTTCTACGGAATGTTAGAGCAAGGAAAAGAATCAACAAGGGAAAGGGGGAGAAGGAAGTACTTGATGTGTTCTTTGCCCTTGGTAATCTCGAGCGTAGAGGCTATACCGCCTAGATTAACGCATCCACCGTAACCCCCACATTTGCGACAGATGGAACAAGCGCAGAGTTGGTATGGCACGGGAGTCTGGGATTGGAGAGAAAATTCTACGAGGCCGCATTGGCAGCTTCCTTCTAGTTTCCTGGGATAGATATTAGCACCGTGGTTTAGAGCTTTGAAGAGGGGTAATCTGGATGGGGACCTGCATTGGCATTTTGAGTATTTGAGGTGATATGTGAAGTTATTCAATAGACAAGCTACTTATAAGTACCTAGGTAGGGAGATTTATTTCTTTAATATTAATTTTTCATTACAAATGCTTCGTTGTTTACTCAAGTAGTTGTCATCGACATTAACCCCTCATTAGAGCTCCAATAGCTTACGTCATAAATCTGGGGTAGAATTATCGGAACAATAGAAAATCCTTCTCCGATCAAGTGCATCTAATTTATCGACAACATCGAATCATTCCAACAGTAAAATACGCATCAATAATCATGAGTACATTTGGAAGCCCGGGTGGGCGTATGGTCAATAACAAACCTTCGCCGTATGTTACTCTCATGATTTTACAATTTGTCGTGTATTCTGGCAAAGAGAAAACTAATGATTGAATTTGGGAATACAGGCCAGAAAGAGGAAGTTTTCCATTGGATCATGATGGTATGGTTTACTTTTCTTCCTTGAATACGAATTAACGAGTCCGCAAATCGAAATGGCTTTGAACTATGGAATGTTAGAACATATACTAATACGGCAATGCGACTACAGGTGAATGCAAATCAGTAATGCAAAGTTATCTCAATTGTATGAAGAAGGTTCGAGGCATGAATGATCCAGAATGTAGGGATCTGGCGAAATCATATTTGTCGTGTCGGATGGATAGGTGGGTCACCGGCTTTCATACATATTTGGGTTGTGAATTGGGAATCGGAATAGGGTTTGAGACGTTGAGGACTAACGGTTGGATGTGCTGCAGGAATTTGATGGCGAAGGACGAATTCAAGAACTTAGGGTTCGCTGATGAGAGCTCAGAGACGAAAGGTGCAGATAAGAAGGATGATGTAAAAGAGGGTGGCGACGATGCAAACAAACATAAGAACGAGCTAAGGTGGTGAAGGTGGCTATGGATTGGTTCGAGGCGAGTTGAAAAGAAACGAATGAAACACTATGGGATAGCGAGGAGGTATCTTATCATCATCTGTAAAACTACAGTATTGGGTCGGCGTTTTTGGGTGGAGCTACAGGGTGGATGTCTGTCAAAATGTTTGAATAAAATGCCAAGGAAATTTATTTTCACACATGCAAGGGAATATTGTTTCAGCTACAGCGTCATTCTATTTTGTTTTCCATTCGATGGTGCTGGTAGTCGCAGGGTCTAGATTCTAGCCATCATATTTATGGTTTGCTATGTTGCCCAATAAGCGAGGGTTCAAATACGATGCTTTCAAGTGCGAGACCGTCAACAAGTGTAGACGATAGATATTGCCTTTGCCAAAGCCTTTAATTATATGGAGTTGAAGGACAGAATATATAATTCTTTGTTTCCGTCATCTCCAACAAGCGATCCACCCTGAAACTGCTCAAGATTTAGATCGGAAGACTTCACAAAAGATTGTGTAAGTCTGCTCATCTTGATTTACTTGGGGACGAATAACGTGTTCAGCATACCGAATAAATACGGGGACTATTTCTCCCAAATTTCAGTTTGCAATGGCATGTTTTGGATACATTTGCCAGCTGAACGAACCGTCGATATTCGAGTATCACATTGATTAACTACATTCAATTGTTATTTTTCGGAATTTGTTTTGTGTGTATTATGATATAATATATCCTTGATCGAGCAACAATAGCTCTAATAAATTCATGCAAAAATGGAGTATTAGGAAAGCGTGCAATAATTGGAATGAAGGGGGGCTACCATTTCCAGTTACTCATAGGGCAGCCCCATTGATCTAAACGACATCAAACAGGCAAAATCAAATAACAGCGAATCAATGAAACTTTCACTCAAACTCCCAGAATGAACACAACTAATCTTGCCGTGCTGGTGGTTCTTGACCATGTGACGACAGCAAATGAGCAGTCCCAGACTTAACTACTCCCTGGCAACGGTTAACGATCACGCCCCGTATAGTTCCTGGTATTATTTGGTCGAGGAACCCGCGTATCACTCCTCGGCTCCCTGCTCTGCCTTTGAGGATTATCTATCTCAAGAATAGATTGTGCTCTCTCATGTGTTGCTTTGAGTTCCATAGACTTTGAAATAAGTTCCTTTACTACTTTCTCCTTGACCTCATTCTCCCTACAATTCTTTGATTTGAGAATCTGACGATATCGAATGATGACAGGGTCTAAAACATCCTCGCTTTCCCCCATTTTTCTCATGATCTCCCATGTCTCAGGTGAACACCCGTTAGCATCTTTAAATGCTTTTTCATAAGCCGTTGCATCCCCTTCTGTCTGTACCGGCCCTCCTTTCTTGAGTTCTCTATCTTCATTCTTGATAGAGTTCTCAATTTCCCAATGGATTTGCCGAGCTTTTACAAGATGTTCCGTGCATTTTTCAACATTAATTCCAACCTTGCTTCGCCCCTTTAGAATCCCATCGATCTCGTGTAATTTTTCTAGTTTTATTTTCACTTCATGTAAGAGAGGACCAATGTCTTCCGCCAATCCAGGCATGCATGCAAATTCTTTGAGGGTCCTTCTAAGATAACCCATGTTCGGAACTTTTGGATCTTGGGAAGCTACGTCAGATCGTTCGCGGTTGTCTCGAGATCTCGATGAAGCTCTTGAACCTCCCCTTGGTGCCTCTGTTTGATCATCTCGATAGTCTCTTTTCTTTCTAGACTCGCCGTCTTTATGACGAAAGGGGTTTTTGCTAAACATTGTTTTGCTCCCCAAAAATAAGACTGCTTAATGCAATGAACTGAAAAATTTTGAATAATAATTTATGTACGCAGCTAAATTCAATTGCATCAGAGGGGTTTTTAATTATCAAATCGCTTAGGCATATGTTCCAACTGATTCTGGCAGTGCTGGGAACGAATTTCAAAGACTAAACCCTCTAGAGGTATATGAGACTTTGAAACTGATGCCTAAGCCTATAATACAACCTTGATACTTTTCCTTGAGCGGCTACCGCGGTTTGTTGTCGCTGGCGCTTAAGGTTATGGCCTTCTTGAGGTCGCCTGTGGTCGATCGCTAGATTACAGCGGTACACAGGAGTCGGTTAAAGGAAGATTTGTTGCCATGTAAAAAGCATACAGAAGCATGAAGAATTGTTGACTAGAGAAACTTGAAGATGAAATGGTGTGGTAGTCCGTGAAGGATTTAAAGTTACGAAAATTTAGAAGATTACGGACGTGGGTACCGAGCATAATGGAATTTGTTGTCATAACCTATACCCTGTGGTGGCAGAATCCGTGGTTGACGAATCAATTGTTTCGTCAACTAATCCTAAAATTTCAATACTTAATACTATATGGAAAAACAGGTCGTATATAGGAAAGCTTTCTGTATTTGTTACAGATTGGGTTTGACGTTGGATTTAATACCAGTGCCGGACTTTTGTTGATGATTTGAACTGCGACCTGTGGTAATATGCCAGGAACCCGAAAAAATGACGTTCAATATCCTCCAGGTTACATATGTGTTCGTGGAGCTGTTGATTATACCGGTCATCCGAGTTTTTCGTAAGACATGATTGTACGCTGACTTTCAACAAACTTCTAATATGCAGAGTTCCTAGACTCATGGGCAAGCACGAGAGTCTTTTGTGACTGGGCCTTCTCTCAACTGGAACTGTCTATGTATACTTGGTCTAGAAATATCTAATTGAACCGCGCTACATATACTAAGCTCCTTGATTTCAACATCGGGCTCGATGTCGATTACTTCCACTAGTTCAACTGTGAATACCTGGAGACTGTTATATCTAGATATCAAGCTGCTTTATTCCATTCACAAACTAAATCCCTCAATTTCAAGGGATTTCTGAGAATATTGATATGGATTATATTCTTGTGATTGTAGGTAGTTTCACAAAATTTGTCTCCCGCCTCCTTCATTGATTGTTTAACATGCTTTCCTCCTTACTTCCAAACACCTGCCCCTTAAAATCATCTCAAGACTCAATCCCCTCATCGAAATTCTCAACGACACCGCCTTGTCCATCTCACAACCTCATATCACATATTGGCAATTTACTCAACGGGTCTCGGCTCCATATATAATATGCCCATCCGACTTCTTAACTGGGCGACAGATTTCCAACATTGCCAACGAATACGACCAGCACAGCACAGTAGCTACATAATTAAGTTGGGGTGTTAGCGTAGAGGTCTCAAGACCTTAAGTGAGAGAACAAGACTTACGCAGCTGCCGCGGCAAGAACCTCATGGCGCTTGGCTCTCGTGAAGAGTGACAGAACTGCCGAGAATGATAGTGTAAATATCAGTAGTATACCGATAAGAATCCCTATGGATGACTTCGAGCTGGGGACATTACTCAAATACCATAATATATATACTGGAATGACAAGAAGGGTTAGTATAGTGATGAGAATTATCACCGACACTACGATGTTGACACGCTCAGGGCTAAAAAGGATAAGATTCGTAGATTCTGGATTAGTTTTCTCTCTCAATTCCTGAATATCATACAGGAGTTAGCAAATATCAGCCGCAATTATTCAGTAGGACACCTTACCGGAGGGCAGAAAATGTGCCGAGTCAAACGACTTGGGAATTTTTGCGGAATTTTCTCAATAATTCCATCAAGCCAGGTATTCTCTCTGCTTGGCTTCAGGGTGATAAGGTCTTCTTTGCAGAGGATATACGCTTGCTCGGAAGTACACAGGGGAGATTGTTCATCGAAATAAGACCTGACCCTAACATAATCCATGGTCGTCGGTCGGTCGAGAATTGCAAGATTTCGAGAGATAGTCAAGAGCTGGGCTATGATCATAGAAAGGTATGTATTAGTTCCATCGCTACCGATATCAGATCATCATTCGTACCGTATTCTCTAAACTTTATCTCAATGGAATCCAAGAGGTTCTTATGGTCTAAACTTTTCGCGTTGTCCTGCGCCCTTGACCTATGTCTTTCCGGGTCGTTCCTCTTGTATATTTCATCCAATTTGAACAGTCGGTCTTCCTGGGCTCGTAACTCGTCCTGCTTATGTAGCAAAAGGCGTGCTTGAAGATGCCCAAAGCGACGATAAAGCATGAACTGCTCGTCGCTATCAATCACCGTTGCTAGACGGGATAGCCATATATAGAAAGCTCAACTGTATCTTGTCAATTAGTGCTTAAATCCAAGTATGGGTGCCTTACCATTTCTCACCTAATTTTTGCACAAGGGCCGATTCTTTGCCAGGTTCTGAAGATATTCACAAAACCGCGCGGTGTCTTCGTCGGGAAGATCATAGGATTTTTCAAACTCTTCTTGTGTCATACCCTCTGGTTTTATAGGCTTCAAAGTTGTTGGGTCTAGTAACGCGGGCTTAAGAACTTTCGTGATACCTACATCCGCCACACCTTTCTCCATCTGGTCAGCATCACCCGTGCCTGAACTTGCTAGTCCGCTTGCTTGTGACATTTTTGAAATAGGTTGGCGTCTATGGCACTTTAAAATAGAGTGAGTTAAGACAATATCAATATACTCTATGAACTTTTCCTTCACCAATCCTCGCAGTCGAATCGCCTTGATAAGTAAACCCCCCGTCGTACAGCCAAGGTAAGGCTGCTCGACTTACGAGAATAAGTAGCCAGTTACAAGAATTTTGGTGCGGATACATGCATCATTCGAAGGCTATGTTGCTGATGCAACAGACTGCAGAAAAGACTGCGACCAAAATCAACCTGTCCTTATTCTTATTCTGCCTTGCTTCGTGTCTAGATTAAACCTACACTCAGTAGACCGATGTATAGCCTTTGGCAAATACGGCTTGGTAATTTTAAAGCACGTCTATTCGATCCATCATACATATCTAACAGTATGCTAGTCGGTTGACTTATTTTACATTGCAGAGTAGTTGCATCGTCATGAATAAATTTCCAGGTGTGTACAAGTGTTCGAGACTCTTTTGCATTCTACGTTGGGCACGGCAGGTATGACAGTAGCCACATAAAGTTTCCGAATCACACACAAGTGGTATTGGAAGAGTACTTGGAACTTACTGCGGCCGGTCACAATCTGCATATCAAGCTTATTTTTACCATCTTAATACGGTGAATGGATCGCTTGCAATTCTCGGTAACTATGTTAGTGAATACATCTGATGAAAATTTCAACCGATCACAATTTGGAGCTCAACCAATTGATGAAAAGAAGTGACGGTTACATACCTGGGTATTCAATACTTTTGAGATGAAGCTCGGTTGCATGCAAGTTGGTGCTTTGTATTCAGTTCACCACGTGCATGTTAGAGGGCAGTTTTTCAAAAACATTCGTGTGATTTTAACAGGTAGGTGATTCGGACTGTGTGTGGTTAGGTATATAGCAACTGGAAATTAAGATTTGTTGATTGAAGCTGATTATTAGCTACATAGAGTGTATATATCGGTGTGACGAAACTATGTTCGAAACTTTCGTCTCGAAGATTGAATGTCTTCTGCTCACTTTCGTTGATTTCATCTTAGGGGTAGTTATGCAGATTTGAATGTTCTTTTTAAGATTAGTATTCGTTAAACAAGGAAAGTGGGAGTAGCAGCAGAGAGGAGGCGAAAATAGCAGACATCTGATTGGCTAACTGGAGGCGGGGATGAAAATTTGGGCATGTTGGCGAGGTCCATGGAACTTGGTGGTGAAGTGATCGTGTACTCTGATTCTCCACGCCTTTACAACAGATTAAGCATACGTAGCGATTAATGGTCGAGGTATATGTATGGTATTGACTGGGCTGAGTTATCTCTCTCTGGTGGATACCAATGTCATCATCAATCAGGTACTTCAGTCCATGAATGAGAGTAGCAGTTCCAGATCTGTTGATGTGTTTTTCATTTGAAGTCATGAAGCTGTTTTGAATCACTACACTGAAAACAAATTCCAGTAGAACAGACAGGTTCACGTATATTAAGAACATTGAAGATAAAATAAAGTCAAAAGACGGAAGCTTATGGAACCTCATGCAGCTCAGACCTGTAGACTGAATCTTTACTCCTCCTTTGGAAAAGAAGTAGCACCCTTATCTTGTAGAGAACTCATCATTTGTTTCAACTATTGCTTCCCATTCAAATTCTATGTCAATTTGAATGGCAAAACTGTAAGTGATGGGTGCTATTGACAGTGGTTCTCGAACGACTAAGCAAGTTCATTTCAAAACTGGTTAGACTGCCGAGATCAGGCAATGGTGAGAACTTGTGAATAACAACAGTAACTTCAACTTCCATTCTTGTTTCCTTCAACAACAAAAGTCTAGAATCTGTAAGTATTTTTTGAAAGATTTCTGAACTCCTGTTAGGGGTAACAATTACTAACATTATATATCAGAAGCTCGGGCCAGCGTTCTGCACGGGCCTCTTTCATCAATATGCCTCCCAAACCAAAACAAAGCTGTCAAAAGCAAGCCACCACCTCCAAGAATCAACCTTCAAAACCTCCATACAATCTTGAAGGGAGAGTTTTCAGCATGGATAAATCTGAACCTTTCATCGATTCCGGCTTAATTGCCGTTGCTCTTGTTATCAAATCACAAACAGGACCACATTTTGTTTTTCACTATCCACCTCGACCATCATTTGCTCCACCACCACGCAATTATAGATATGGCACGGAAACTGATCAGAGCGAGCTTGAAGACCGGACACCTAGCGATGAGGATGACAGCGACGACTTCTCCGATCTTGAAGACCCAATTGCTTCAAAAATTGGAAAATTGAACTTGAATGGAAAAAAGGGGAATGGTGGAAATGGCAGTAGATCGCGTCACGTGGAAATTGAAAACGACGATCACCTTGAAGGCAGAGACGGCGAACAAATCGTTCCTTGGGAACAATTCGGCGAGTTTCCTACCGTTGATCTTGCGAGTATCTTGACACCACCACGCGCGTACCATAAAAAGAAGTTTGAGCTGTCAATTGACAATCTCTACTTTGTTTCCTATCCCTTGCACATCCGCGAGGATGGATTTTGGAAGAAGCCGAGAAAGTCGAAGAAGGGCAAAGAGGTAGCCAAGGATGAAGATGAAGCTGAAGAATGTCAGGCGGCTAGCGGCAGTCAGGCAAAAAAAGGCAGTAGTTCGGATGACGGTGATGATCATGGAGAAATGACAATGTTTAACGTTGTTTTCGTCATCAGTTTACCTAGGCACGAACAAGATGAGAGAATCGAGGAGCTTTATGAGCATGTTATTAAGACTTTCAACAAGGCCCTCAACCATGCTCAAGCTCAGAGCAATTATGTTTGGAAAGAATCTGAGACCATTCTAGGCATGAAGGAGAGAGCCCGCGAAGATAGTAAGTCCTCCTTGTACATTAATTTACTTCCCAATCTAACTTGTTGATAGAGCGCCCAATGAGTCAATTGTGGAGTCAAATCTTGATCAAATCTACTTTGGCAGATGCAATGCGCGACGTTTACGATGCCGTTGTCAACAATACCATCACCACCGTTTGTCTCGACACCAAGCCTCCCATTGATTTGTCTCTTCATATCCCAATTCCCACATTTTTAATGAGCTTTCCAAACCCCAACGAGCGAGCAAAACCCGGCGTATTACTTTCTAGTGCCAACCCTCTTGTCGATGAGGAAGGTAACCCAGACACTACGCAGCTTGATAAGCACTTTGCACTTCTACTTCTTGAGGATGAGGTTGACGTTATCGCGGAGATATCATCTGAAGATACCGAGCTTTCTGCTCCTTTGATTCAAGTTATTAAATGGGCGAAACCTACTTTATCCTTTCAGCAAGTCGCTCAAGCAAACAATGTTGGTCTTGATGAAGTTCTTACCCTCGCACAACATTTGATCTACTGGCGTAAAGCAATTGCTATTCCACCTATTCACGCTCGCGACATGTTTATCGTTTCTCCCAACTGCGATATGCACAAGTTAATTACAGCAAGCCAACAATGGAAAAAGGCATTTCCTTTTGCTCCATCTTTACAAAGTTTCCTTGGCCAAATATCCTATGCTCCACGCCCCTACAAGTCCTTCGTCCCCTCCAAGAGTCATCGCGAAAAATATATGGAAATGCTTGCATGGCTCATTCGTGGAGGCTGGGTCACTCATCTGCGAACGTTTTGTTGGGTCTGGGTCTGGCCTGAGATCATTTATGAGGTCGAATACCAATTGAAGGCAGAAGCTATCGAGAGAACAAAAAACCCACCTGTTCATACCGCACCCGGATCCCCGGAAGGTAACTCTTCTGAAGAAGCTACAGATGCTGAGAAGGCGGCAGCTCTCGACCCAACAGCTCCGCTCACTACTGAGCAAGCAGCCGAAGCTGCACGCCTTGAAAGACTCGCCGCTAAGACAGTCGCAGAAGCTAAAGCCGCCGAAGACGAATTCGAGAAAATGCCTGTCCCACAAGCTACCGAGCATCCTTCTTTGAACAACGCAGAGCACTTGAAATACATATCCTCCTATGCTATTGTCGATCCACACAAGGCTAGCCATGTAGAGACAATGTATATTGCAGCTATTGGTAAGCGTTGGACTGACCCCAAGGCAAAAGCATTGTGGCCAAAGTTCGTGAAGTATTTTAACGGAACAACTGCTTTGGAAGATATTTGGGCCAAGGAGGGAATGAAGCGTAAGGAGACGTGGAATGTTTTTATGGCTTATCAGGAGCAGATTCTAGTTATGAAACATTGGTAGATGCTGATGATTGATCTTTTACGTTCTCTTCTACGAAGATTAACTTCTGGAGAAGTGAAAAGATGGATGCTATGATGATGATTTACGATGATATTGAGGATGATACGGCGTTACAAAGTTCCAGGAACGGATAGGTTAGTATGATACCATGGCTTTAGTGAATATCTTCGTGATTTGATACCCTTCCATATGAAGGCTATGCCTGAGAATTAATCAAGTCAATTACTTTGTCCCGGTGTCTGTTGACATGGAAACGGGTGAACTACGTAGTGCTGATTCGCATACCTACCTAGGTTCATATAGTAAGGCTGAGTGGAAGAACACATTGTCTACGAAAAGTGTCAAAAAGGTTCAAGACTTATCATATCCCACCCAAGTGAAAGAGGCAATGAGATCGAAGTGACAAAAACTCTGACTAACGACAATAGTTGAAAATAATTGCCAATCAAGATGGTAATATCATTACTAAATGAGCTTATGAGAGCCCCCTAAATAGCGCACAAGTTAGATGAGTTTCCCCCGTGTTAATTCTATAGTCAGATTTTGGCCGCTTCCAGGATCATGGACTGGACGGGACGTTGCGTCCGTTTCTTTGTTTCTCGTGAATCTATTAGACCTTGAGAGAGCTCTATGCTGGGGGATTCACAAGACTCTTTAAGGGGTCCGCAGTAATCTTGGGGGAAGATGCTTTATTGCTACTTTGTTGTCCATGCTTTTCAAATTCTTAGGGTACGGTTAGCTCATTATATATGCCATACGTCTCATACTAATTTGGGAAA